TTTGGAATACAGGGTAGGGAACATAAGCAATAACAACTTGAAACTGTTCTAAAAATTTGAAGTCCATTAATTCTTTATTCTGGTAGTGAACTTGGGAGTTAGACCCCAGTCTTTCTTAGGCATTACTGGGCAGAGGCAGGCTGATGAGTTCTTGGTCTCTGCTTCCCTTTTTCTCTTCCCCTTTACTGTGTAAATTATATTTTCTCCAGCATGTTTACAATACATATGACAAATGTGCATGCCTTAAAATAGTAATAAAAAGGGCAGGTCGAGTGGCTCAGTTGGTTAAGAGCTCGCTCAAAAGTGCGGGCGACTGCGTCGCTGGTTTGATTCCTGGCCCAAGCTGAGCTGCTGCTGAGCTGCCAACAGGTGGCAGGATGGCTCAGCTAAAAAAAAAAAAAAAAGTAATAAAAGAAAATATCACATCATACACAGAGAAACCCCTAGAAATAAACACATACCTAGATGTCCAGTTTGCTGACAGTTAGCTTGAATAGATATTCAGGATTCAGGTAGAAAAAACAACCTAAATAAGGCCCAGCAACCCCTTTACTCCAAGGGAGTTTTCTTAAGATATAAACCCTAGACTTCTCTTCCAAAACATCCTTGGAACTGAGACCATAGCCAAGATGATCCAAAATGACCAGGCCAGCTCCCCCATTTTTAGCCACCCTGAAGCCTGTGCCCTTCTGTGAGGTAGGGTCCTCCTTTTGGTGACCTGATCATCTCTATTAATTGGTTCAGAGTCTGAAAACTGGCTCAGATCAGAGTGGGCAAAGGATGATCACTTTTTATTGGGGCAACTGCCCTCAGCCCCCTGATCACCTAACCTTGACTTCTTCTGATTCAAAGCTGAAGAGCACTCTTGGCTGTCCATCCATTTATTTTGCCCTTGGCGATGCTATGTTCTGTTAACTATCTCCATAATTCTCTGAGGGTCAGGCCTCCTTGACTGTCACTCTGACCTTTCCACTAATAATTGCATTTACCTGGCTTCTGAAAGTTAAGTGCTGCCACCTGGCCTCTTGTTTCAAGGTCCTATCACCCCATGGCTGTAGTTAGCTGAGTTTTGTAACAGCTTTTCCTAATGTCAGTCCTGCCCTACATGGAGAATCACTACTGAACTTTCCGTGATGCCTGTGCACCTCTCACCTTCACATTCCTTATGGCCTTGGTAAATGGAATATCCTGTTGTTCTTCCCATGAAGCAATCATTTGGTGGGATTTCTGACCTTATATAGTACATCCACTTTGTTGTACTTGTCAGCTTTTAAATCCTGCCCTACATCATATGTTTTGGCAATTCTGGCTTTTTTTTTTGCTTCGTGTGGGCTGTAGAGTTTTCCATGCTTCTAAGAGCCATTTTAGTAGCAAATTTGCACCATTTCCTGGGGTCCTCGGCAGAGTGGTAATTTCTGTGGCCAGGAGAGTGATCCCAAATCAATAAACTCTCTAATTCAATTTTACAATCTGGTACCCTTGATCAAGCACCCTCAAAATCCAGTGTCTTGCTACTGTCTCCCAGCTTTTGCTATTATGTGCTTAGCTAGTTCTTGCAGCTCCTTTAGGATATAGCCCCTTTCCTCCCTTATCAGGTTCAGTATGTTCCCCACTGGGTTATGTAGTGTGTCAATCCTAGTTATCGGCCTGTCCAGAAGAGAGGTAAGGGCAGATGTGGTCTTATTTGGTATAGGCCTCTGCACTGTCTACTAGCAAGAGGGGAGTGCTTCTTGGTGAGCCATTTCTGCAGGTTCAGAGGGTTCAGGAGAGTCTGATAATTTAAGATCTTCAGTGGCATCAATCATAACCCCAACCCAAGTGTCTGGCCCCATTATTTCCCAGCCAGGGCCTTGGCTTAGATGACTTGCCTGGCTTAGGAGTATAACCTTATTGGAATTCAGACTATTCTGATAATTATCCTGGGCCTCAGTTTTCCCTGCCCTCCCATTGCAGGTGTTGAAGCCCTCTTCATATGCTATTAAGGAGGCCCTCTGGCTTTCACACTTGGCTTTCAGTAACAGTGACCCAATTCTACTATCATAGTTACTGTGCCCTCCCATATTTTTTAAATGTCTGATACATCCCACCAGCTAGTACATTCCCTTCCACCAGCATACCATCTCTATTTACCAACAATGCAATATTAACAACTGGATCATCAGATCTTCATTGCCAGCTGTGTCTTGAGTAACACAGCTTCTAAACATTATTTTAATACCTTTTTTCTCAGACTACTCCTAGCACCAACTGTTGCAGGTTGGGTGCTCCAAGAAGCAGACTCTGAGATGGAGTTTAGTGTGCAAAATGCTTATCAGGGAGTGTCCCGGGGATTGACAACTGTGGAAGGGAGGGAAAGTGGGAGAAGTTGAACTGCAGTGCATACCTGACTACAGTGTCAGCTGATCACATGGGTACTCTGAAGCTAAAATAGGTGGTCAGAGTTGTCCCACACTGGGCTGAAATTGCCAGACTTTTATAGCCCACATATTCATGGGGGATGGATTGGGGTTTACCTGCCTGGAGTCAATAAGACAAGTCATAGGAAAGGAATGTGTCTATGTGCAGAAATTTATTAAAGTGGCATAAAAATGCCTGGCCTCAGCACTACAGGTAGAAATATCCCCAAATAAGGGTATACAATTCATTTTGTTTAATGGAAAATCCGCTTGAACACTGCCAGCTCTAAGTAGGTGACCCTCATCACTCGCTAGTCTGTCTGGATTGCAGGGTGGGCTTCCCCATCAGGAGGGACTGTCCTGGATAAATGGCCTTGGATCTCAAATCAGGCCCATTTTCTGTTGTAGATGAATGAATGGTCATTCTGGTTTGTCATGCTTCCTCCTGTAAAGTTGCTTGGCATGAATAAAGTAATCCTCTGAGTAAATAGATACAATCAAGTTCCTGGACTAGCAGAGCAGAGAACTAACCCTGGATCCAGAGAACACCACCATGATCAAAATTCCCATGAGGTAATTTCCTTTCTGAAACTATTTATTTCCTTTGCCAGGATCATACCCTGATCATCCTTAAACTCTGAAGGGTCTCCATTAAGATATGAAACTGCTGAATCATATTAGCCTCTTACCTGAACTATTACAGTATACTTTGCTGGCCTGTGTCACTACAGCCCTTCTTAACGGTTTTCATGAAATTTGTTCTTTGTTTGGCCTCTGGAGGGAGTACCCATTCTGTGTCTTAAATTTGTGCAGTTTACTGTAGAATGTATATATTTTAAAGAATATAATAAATTACTACATTCGTTTTTACCTTCCTGTTGAAAAGGCTTGTACACATAAAACGATGAATGAGTAGTTTAGTCATGTTTATAATCTAGTTTTCATTTGAACATAATTGTCAGAGTGTATAGCATAAAAAATAAATACAGGATGTCAGAAGGAGAGCATCATTTGATATGGATGCATTAGGGAAAGCTTTTGAGGAGAACATGGGATTTAAGGTGTGTTCTGAATAGGTGCAGTCAATGTATCATTTAGGACCTATTGGCTGCAAGGGATAGAAACCCAACCCAGATTATTGAGGAAAAAGGAATTTATTGGTGCTTGGAAGTCAAGGAGAGACTAAATAGCCAAGCGTGGGAAGACAATAGATGCAGCTGGGCCTCGGAACAACTAGAATTGGCAATATAAAAGCTCACTTATCCTTCTTTTATCCTCCCATTCCTGTCTCTCAGCATCTTTATCTTGCTGCAAGCCAGTTTTCTTCACTATATTAGCAGGTAGCTCAGGAGCTCCACAAGATCAAGCTTTTGGGATGCAGAAGAGGAAGGAATGCTGAGCAGAGAAAATATTCCATTTTGAGGAGGAATGAGTATGGTTTAGGCAGATACCAGCATGGATGAGAAATTGAAGATAAGTATAAGTATTATAGATGGAGTAGGAGATTATGGAGGGTTTAGAATTTATATACTGGCATATCTGGAGGCCAAAGGAATATGGTATTTAGTTCTGGGTGCCACATTTTGACATGGAAATAGGCAAACTGTTCTGTCTAGAGTAAGGTAGTTAATAGATTGAATATAAGTTGTATAAGGGCAATAACTTTCCTGGTTTCCCTGGGTTTAGAAAGAAGGAGCAGAAGATCAAAGACAGCAAAGAGAGCTCAGTAAAATTTAGGGTTGTTGAGAGGAGGGCTTAATGAGAGAAGCCAAGGATAGCTAATGATTTCCAGCTTAGAAGGATGTGGGCATTTACATAAACAGGGAAGATAAGAGAAGGAGTTAATATGCGTAAATATGATAGCTCAGTTTTAGACATAACTGAATTTGAGATGCTAGTGTCATGTCCCACTGCTGGAACTGCTATCAAGAGGTTGGAAATGTATGCTGGGGTTTAGGGAAATAGATTGTCAAATTGTCTTTAGATAACTCATCTGAAACTAGAAAAGAGGAAGGTGCAGGCTGGGCTTTGAAGACAACCCCATTTAAGGTTATGGGAAGAGAAGTCAGTGAAAGAGGCAGCTAGAGGAGGTAGGAGAACCAGGCAAGTGTAGTGACTAGAGAAGTCAAAGCAGAATTTCAAGAAGGAAGAGGTCGTGGCGTGGAAACCAGTGATGGAGGAAACTTGGAAAAGGCAATTATATTTCGTGAGGTCTTTCAGAATCCTGAGAGAAGAACGGTGTTAACTGCCAGGAGTTACAATTCAAATTCATGCTGAGTGCTTAATTCCTGCCAGCGCTATGCTAGGTGCTGGGGATCCAAACAGCCCAGTTCTGGACCCAGAAAGCTCACAGTGTGGTGGAGGAAGTGAGAAGTAAATGAATAATAATTAAGATACTATTGTATATTGAAAGTGTTTAAACATTGGTGTGAGCAAGATATAGCAGAAGCCCTGCAGAGTGGGTGACCCCACGGAGCGGGACTGGGAAACGGCGGGTAGGACGGTTTGCTGTCCAGATGCGTGATGGGTCTCCAAAGATTCCGCGGGGGCAATTCCTGCAGAACCAGCCCTCTGAGGTCATAGACAGCTCTTGGGCAGCTGCGGAGTGATGGGGCACGAGGGGATACTAGCGCCGCAGGGCGAAGGAGCGTTAGGGTCCTTCCTATTTGAAAGATGAAGGATGGATATTGCAGCCTGAAGATGGAATGCAGGAAGAAGAGGCGAATATCTTTCCTAAATTCTCTCCACTTTCTCACATAGGGCAGAAAAAATTCAGGTGTTGTGGAAACCGAGCCTTTTGGGAAGCTAGTTGACCAAAAGCCTCAGGTCGTTGAGTTTGGGAATGCTTGTTGCTATACCCCGGCCTCCGTATTAGGCCGGAACTCGAGTATCATAACGCCTGCTTTGCCGCGGGACTGTAAAAGCAGGTGGACCTACACGGGGAAAGTGGTGTACGGGTCGGGAAAAGCTGGGGATCCGGACGGAATCCACTCTTGACTCCAGGCCGCGGAGGCAGGCGGGCGCCTGCGGGCGGTTGGTGCGTCCGGGACGTGCCGCGGCGACAGCGCTTTAGCAGGTGAGTGTTGAGCCGCAGCACGGCCGGGACCGATCCCCGACTCGAATCGGGAGCTTAAAGCCGGGGCTGTAGAGTTAATTTTAACACATACTAGATGTGTGACCTCGGGCGATTTTATCTTGGAATCTCGGTTTCCTGGTTTTTATTATGGAAATAATAATAGTACCCCTCTCAGGATTGTTTAGAATAATAATATTACTTCTCTCAGGGCTGTAGTGAGAAGTCAATGAAAATAACAGAACAGTTTCTGGCACATGATAAGCCTTGGATATACTGTCTTTACAGACTTCCTTTTAGCTGCGGGCATTAGGTCGCTGTTAAAACTCACCAACTTTGGGACGGAATCATCCGTTAATGGGTTTGACTTTATTGGTAAAAATATGAAACAAAACATTCATAATTAAAGTTTTATTATTAGAAAAGTAACACTACTGAGGATTTGGAAAAATATTACTCATAGTCTCATCATCCTACACGCAACTTTAAACCTTTTATTTTTCTTACCCCCGAAAATATTTTTTCTGTGCATTTTTATACTTGTAAAGTTAGCACATAGCAAGTTTGATTCGTCCTTATTTGCCACTTAGTAGTGTAGCCCAAGTATAGGGTTCAGGAGTATAATTTTTATGATTGCATAAATTCCATATGGGCATATCATTTATTTTCCATATTTCTGTATTTGTAGCGGTAAGATCATTTAAGTACTATCAGTGAGGGAAATTTAAATATTACCTATGATTCCAGAACCTCAGATCAACTTTTTATTTTTCCTGGTTTCTTTCTATTTTTAGTTTATGTGAAAGCATTACTTACATGGTTTTCATTTATTCAGCAAACATTATCAAGCATCAGTTATGTTCAAGCCATAGTTCCTAAGATTAAGGAGATCAGGCTAGTTAGTTAAACAGGTAAAAGTAAGAGTCTAAAATTATGTAAGGACTGTGAGAAGTATGCACAGGTTCTTATGAGAATATGGAGGAAGAGCATTGTTGATGCCCTCCACAGTCAGAGGCCACCAGGAACAAGCCTATAGTTGAACAAGTTGGGTTTATTGCTCCTTGTAGTGAGAGAGAATACACACCATGGGAAACGGTGGGGCATCTCAGTAAGAAGGTGTTCGAAGGGATTTATTATGGACAAGTGCTGATTAACAACACAGATGCACTCTGAGAAATGCATCAATAGGTGATTTTGTTGTTGTTTGAACATCATAGAGGGCACTTACACAAACCTAGATGGAATTGCCTACTACATACCTAGGCTATGTGGTAATGGCCTATTGCTTCTACACTACAAGCCTGTACAGCATATTACTGTACAAAACAACACAAGATTAAATCAAGCACAAGAGAAAATGATGCAATCAAGAGATGTGGTAAGCACAAGATTTGAGAGGCTGTTGCTGGTATAACACTGCACACTGTTTTACAGCAAACTTTTTTTTTTTTGCAAGTAGAAAGAGTCCACTCTAAAAGAATGATAAAAAGTATAATAAAGTACAAATGGTTAGTCACAAAATAGTCATGGGGATGTGAAATACAGTATGGGGAGTATAATCAATGTAAAGGTTATGTAGGGTGTCAGATGGGTACTGGACTTTTTGGGGGGATCACTTCATAGATTATATAAATGCCTAACCATGGTACTGTATACCTGAAACTAATATAAAATGATATTGAATGTCAGCTATAATTAAATATATATATATATAGTCACGGGATGTAAAGTACAGCATAGGGAATAGAGTCAATGGTATTGTAATAGCTATGTATGATGTCAGAGGGGTAGTAGACTTGGGGGGGGGTTATCACCTTGTGAGGAGTATAAATGTCTAATCATATGTTGTTTTGTACACCTGAAACCAAAAAAAAGTACCAACAAGGTAACAAAACTCATGAAATTAAAAAAAAAGTATTTAAATGTGGTGGTATTAGTGCTACTGTTTAGTTTCTATCTTTGAGGAGCTCTATTAGTGACTGATAGTCAAAGCTTTGTTACTTAAAGTGTGAGCCTTGGACTAGGAGCTTGTTGGACATGAAGAATCTTGGGGATCTTGTCTGACTTACTGGATCAGAGAACCCTCTCATAGCCACCATTCCATCTGATCTTCAGAAGAATCCCTTAAGGGAGGTATGGGAGGTGTTAACACAGCCTTACCTCCGAGGAAATGGAGGCCTCAAAACAGTAACTGTTTTACCTGAGTTAAACAGCTTTATTAGGGTTAGCCATATGAAATTGCCAATATTTACAATATATCCTAATAAGAGGGCAGAGCCAGGTGTCAAGTCTAAGTTTTCTGACTCCACATACACTGCACACTGTACTCCCTGTTTTTATAGATAAAGTGCTAACATGTCAGCCTAGGTCTTGGAGTGAATTAGTTGAATACTTTATTTTAGGAACCAATTATTTCTTTAAAACTCCAGCATAAAAATTTGTTTTAAAATTGACACAACCTTTTGAAACACATTCTTGAATTATTTTTGGGTTGATTATAAATTCCATGAAAGGGACCAGTGTTTATATGTGCATCTTGGTGTTTTTTCACAAGGCAGTGGGATGCCTTACATACAGTGCAAACAGTATTTGCCTCATAGTAGCCCTGGGTAAATGTTTATAGAATTAGAAAATAAGTTCATGAATTTCACAATGCATGATCCATGTTGAATTGGAAATTGTGATGTATTCATTGCTACACTGGTAACTCTTCATTGTCTCTTCCGTTATAGGTGGAATTGGGCTATTTGCTGAAGCTTCTTTCCCTGATAGCCCAGGGAGAAATTGACATTTTGACTTCTTCTTACCATGGCTTTGGTTCACAAATTGCTGAATGGCACTTATATTCTCGGGAGATGCCCAAAGCCAAGTGTTGCTTCGTGTCCATTTTTGTGTACTCGCTTTGCAGACTATTGTTCCAGTAGTCTTCAGAAACCAGTAGCTACTCCTGGCCAAGGCTCCCCTCGGAGGACCGCTGAAGGGGGTTTGCAAGGACATCACCAGAGAGAAGCTGCTTTGGATATAACTTCCCCTGAGGAGAAGCCTGAAGTTAGTTTTGATAAAGCAATTAAAGATGAAATAAAGGACCATTTTAGGCGGTTGAAGGATGAAATTGTGAATCATTGGATAGGGCCCGAAGGCCGCCCTCTGCATGAGGTCTTGCTGGAACAAGCCAAGGTTGTCTGGCAGTTCCGTGGAAAAAAAGATTTGGATAAATGGATAGTGACTTCGGACAAGACCATTGGAGGCAGAAGTGAAGTGTTCCTGAAAATGGGCAAGAATAACCAAAGCGCACTGCTGTATGGAACTCTGAGCTCTGAGGGGCCTCACGATGGGGAAAGTGGTCGCAGTGGGTACTGTGCAATGATGTCCAGGGTTCCCAGGGTAGGTGAGGCCCAGGAACCTGTTTTCTAGTGAACTCCGGTGATCTTCATTGTAGCCTGATCTATAGCAGAGAGCTTTTGTTTCTGTAAATGAAAACATGTGGCATCTCATCTGTATGGGTTAAAGAACTACTGGGAACAAGTGTAAAGTTGAAGCACAAGGGGAAAGTGGTTCCTGAGGAGGGACTACTTGTTTCTGGGCATCACTTTGGGCCAGAGTAGGGCATTCTTATATTTGAGGAGCCCTGAGAGGTTAAACATTTGAATAATGATCTGGGGAGTTTGCATCTCCTCTTATGTAGACCACAGACCCTGTAATGGGCAGGGGTTCCTTAAAGTGGATGTATGATTAGCCTGACTTTTTTTTTTAACTTTTAATTTTAGAATAGTTTTCATTTTTACAGAAAAAATTGCAAAGTAGTACAGAGAGTTCCTATATGCCCCTCATCTAGCTTCTCCAATTGTTACCATCTTATATTGTTACAGTATATTTGTCACAACTAAGAAACTAACATTGGTACATTACTATTAACTAATTGCAGTCTTTATTTGGATTTCACTAGTTTTTCCACTAATATCTTTTTTTTCTGTTCTAGGAGCCCATCTAGGATACCACATTACTTCTAGTTGTCATTAGTCTCCTCTGGTCTGTGACAATTTCTTGTCTTTCCTTATTTTTCATGAGGATTTGAGAAATACTGGTCACGTATTTTTGTAGAATGACCCTCGATTTGGGATTTTCTGTTTTTTTCTCCTGGCTAAACTGGGGTTCTGGGTTTTTAGGAAGAGTGCCACAGAGTGTAAAGTACCCTTCTCATCACATCATGTTGGGTACATGCCAGCAGCATGACTTCACACTGATGTGTTAACCTTGATCACCTGGTCAAGGTAGTGTTTGCCAGGTTACTCTATTGTTAAGTTACTTTTTTCTTTTTTCTATACTTCGATCTTTGGAAGCAAGATACTAAGTGCACCCTACTTTCAAGATGTAGGGTAGGGCATGGGATTAAGTTCTATCTCCTGGAAGACGTAGTATTTACATAAGTTATTTGGGATTCTTCAGAAAGGAAGACTTGTTTCTCCCACATTTATTGATTCATTCAATAATTTAGTATGGACTCACACTTTGGGTTATAATCCAATATTATGTTATTTATTTTGTTGCTCAAAGTGTTCCAAAGTTTGGCCATTGCGATCTCTTTTAGGTTGGCTCCTGTCCCTTTGATATGCCCCCCACCCCTTTGTTTTTGAGCACTTTTTGGCACTACAAGATGTTCTAAACTCATCTTGTATTTTCCCTGTCTCAACCCTAGAATTAGACATTTCTCAAAGGAATCCTGGTTCCTTTTTTTGGAGAATGGTATTAGAAACCAAGATCTGGCCACTGAGTATGCTTGTTGTGACTGGGCTGATACTTTGTCTGGGACATCTCAGTGGGCATAGCTAGGAAGCATATATATACATACCAAGTTGTGGAAACACACGTCTGTAATGATTTCTGTATCTATATTAAGCTAAATGTGAGTTCATACTAAGGCTCAGACTCTAATTCAGTACCATGTGGTTCAGGCTAGCCTTACTCTTATCTTGCTTCTCTTTAACTTCCCTCTGTAATGATGAGAAACATGTCTTCCACCATTTACTTATTAATTCAACCCCAGTATACATGTAATGCAATTTCAGAGTTTTTAACCCATAACCCTGCAAGAGACAACTTTATCAACTAGAATACAGTGTTTATGTATATCTTTTGTCTTTAGCCTTGCAGTTTCCAGTCAGAAAACTATTTTCCAATGTTACTTAGGTTAGCTCCTTTATCTCACTACTGGCCTGTGAATTTTTGCAAATTTGCTGACCAGGCGTCGTTTCAGGATGGGCTCCCACGCCTGGCCTTGGTCGCAGCCACTGGGTGTTTGCTTAGATATTGTGCTTAAGGAGAAAGGCAAATGTTAGGAGTAGTATTAGGCTTCCCTCTCTCCAGATAATGATGAAAAAGAAAGGTATGTGTTCTTTCAGAGGCAACAAACTATGCATACAAGATTTCTTTCCAGGCCTTGAAAATCCACAAGATGGCTTTGGTCAGTCCACAGGTGAAAATAATTCTATGGCTAGATACTCACTGTGGAGTAATGAAAAATGTTGATAACATTTATTAAGTGTGCCCTGCCAGTGCTTTATATACATTATCCCTTTTATTCCTCACAACAATATTGTAAGGTATGATCATCCCAATTTTACAGATGAGGAAACTGAGGCTTGGAGAGATTTAGTGATTTGTCCAAAGTTATACAGCTAGTAGATAATAGTTCATATCTGTGCACTGGTATTCTTGAAATCAGATTACCTCTGAAATTGCTATAAACACCTTTGGAGATTAACACTGCATTCCACTTTCAAAGAGAGAGACAGTATAGATAGTTGTTAAGAACACAAATTTTGGAGTTAAACAGCACCGGATTTACCACTTACTAGTTGAGTACTCAGTTTCTTCATCTATAAAATGGAGTACAGTGATAGTACCCATCTCAGGGCTGTTGTGAGGATTAAGTTATGTATATAAAGTGCTTAATGTAAGTTTTCAATGGATGGTAGCTGTTGTTATAAAATATCAATTTTAAAACTTGAGCTCTTTCATAGTTTTCTAATTTATGAGAAGGCAGTTGCCATTAAGTTGCCCACTCAGGAGCCATTGCTCCATAGGACCAAGGAAAGATGGTACTTACAGCAGTTCTTTTCCATTCAGTGACACCAAATGAGTGCCTTCCTCATGTAAATATTGCCCTGGGCCAATCATGTCTTGAACATGACCTTAGAAATATGTATCTATGTCAGTAGTTTGTACTAAAATAAGAACCACCAGATTTATCTGCCTTCTTATGGTGACAGAGCCCAGAGAGACAGAAAAATGGATAGTGGATCCTTTTATTGCTATAAAAGGTGATGATTCGCATTTTACTAATAGTGGAAAATGAGGTGAAAGTAACTTTTCTTTCTGTACCTTAGGGCCCTTTTGACAGAAAGAGGTCTTATGATTGGTCTCAGTTCAACACTCTGTATCTCCGTGTCCGAGGAGATGGTCGGCCTTGGATGGTGAACATCAGGGAGGACACGGATATAATCCAGAGGAAGAATCAGATGTACAGTTACTTCATGTTCACCCGTGGGGGGCCCTACTGGCAGGAGGTCAAGGTAACAGCACAGTTTTTACTGTGTATGAAATGACGTCTTTTGAGATCATGATTACATTGTAGCTTTTTTTTTTTTTTAAATTGGGAAACTGTGTTTCTCCAGGATCCATCAGCTCCAACTCAAGTAGTTGTTTCAATCTAGTTGTGGAAGGCACATCTCAGTGGCCCATGTGGGAATTAAACTGGCAACCTTGGTGGTATGAGCACTGCACCCTGCGCTGTAACCACCTGAGCTAACTGGCCATCCCTACATTGTAGCTTTTTAAATTATTAGTCTCTCTTGGAAGGTGTGGAAAGGGAAAGAAGGAATAGGACCTAAGGGCAAGATTTACATAATTGACTTTTCCTTTCATTAATATAAATGTTAACCTACTAACCAGGATATCAAATATTTTTGATAAGGATGTGGCCAGGTGCATACTAACTCATGGGTACACCTCTGTTCTGTGCCCAAGTAGTTGTTCCTTTTTAAGTGTCTGCCATTATCACCTCTTACAGGCAACTCTACTAAACTAGTGTCCCTAGCTTAGTAGAAAGGCTCCCTTAAGAGGAATAAATACTTCATATTTTAAAATCAAAAGTTTTATTTATTTCTTGGTAGTAGAAGGCCATCTTATTTTGTAAATGAGAAGAAGCTTTGAGAAGGTAAAAAATGTTAACCTGGAGAAAAATAAGTGGAAATTCAGGGAGTGAGGGCAAAATCAAGTGCCCATTCCTATCTTCTGACTAGTGAAAGCTTTTAACCCATAAACTCAAAAGAAAATCCCCATTTTGCTCATACTGAAACCTAAAGCTCATCCTTGAGTCCCTTTCTCCCTCATCCCACATCCAGTCTATTAGCGAATCCTGTCACCTCACTTCCAAAATACACTCAGAATCTGGCATTTCTAGCCATCTCTTCCACGCTTACCCTAGTCCAGGCCTTTGGATCACTGCCGTAGCTTCTTCATGGATTTCTATTTGTCCTCTTGCCGCCTTAAAATCCATTCCACTCAGCAGCCAGAGCGAGCTTTCCAAAGCACAGCTCAGGTAACGTTACTTGCATGCTCAAAGTCCTTCAGTGGTTTCCCCTTACAATTACAGTAAAGTCCAAATTCCTTAACATGGCCTACCGGGCCTCCTATACCAGACCCGTCTTCATCTTTCAGTCTCCTTTCCTTCTTCCCTTCCTTCCCACTGGCCCCTTTTCTGTGTGTCAAACTCAACAAGCTCACTTCCACCTCAGACCCCTGTACTTTGTGTTGTATCTCCTGGTATGTTCTTTTGCCCATATCTTCACCTGCTTCCTCTTTCCTGTCATTCACCTCTCAGCTCAGAAGTTGCCTCACACAGGCCTTTCCTGGTCCTTCTAGCTAGAGTTGCACCCTCTAAACCAGTCACTTTCATTAACACCACCCTGTTTAACTTTTTCAAATAACATCACTTATGTAAACTTATTTTGTTCATTAACTATCTCTTTGTTTATTGTCACTCTCTACACTGCTCCCCTGGAACTAATTCTGTAAATTCTCAGAGCAGGGATCTTGTCTGTATGGTTCATTGCTGTTTTCCTTGCACCTGAAATGGTGCCTGGCATATAATAGGCTCCTGATACATATTTGTGCACTAATATATATATATATAATTATTATATTTGTAACACTTGTTACAAAATGCAGAAAAGGAAAAAGTATTTTGTAGTACCACTACCCAGAGATAAAATACTATTATTTTAGTATGTACCTTCAGACCTTTATTTATACTTTTCTTTTTACAAAAATGGTATTGTGGCCATGCTGTTTTATAACATATACTGCTCACTGAATTTTATATACAACTTTCTGTTGAAATAGATTTCTACATCATTTTAAATAAATGCATATTTTATTATATAAATAGACCACAATTTACTTAACCCATCCTCTATTGTACATTTACATTGTGTTCAGAGTTTTTCACTACTGTACCAAACTCGGAGGTAAACATCCTTAATTATTCTCTTAGGATATATTCCTGGCTGTCAGCTAGGAGTCACTCTCAGCTCCTAGAAGTTGCCTGCATTTCTTGCTATTTAGCTCCATCTTCAAAGCCAGCAGTGGAGAATCTCCCTCGTCACTGAATCCCTCTCATGTGGCTAGTATCTTTCACCAGTTCCGTTATGGACTCAGTAATTAAGTCAGACCTACAAAGGATAATATTCCCTATACTAAGGTCAACTGATTTAGGGCCTGCAGTTTCTTCACAGCAGCACCGAGGTTAGTGTTCAGATATGTGGAAGAAGGTATGTGTACACCAGAGGTAGAAATCTTGGGGGGCATCTTAGAATCCTGCCTACCACAATTGCCAGGTGCCCTCTGAAGGAGTTGTACTAATTTGTACTCCTACTAACAATGTGCCTGTTACTCCCCATCCTTATTTTTCTATTGGGTTTAATCTTTTTCTTATATATCTGTGATCCAAATGACTAGCCACTTGTCATAACTGCATATATTAAATAATTTTAGAATTAAATTTAAACTGTTCTTTTATCATTGCAATTACATACAAATGCTTGTTACTTACATATTTCAGTTATGAAGTAAATGGTTTCTTTTTTTCAGATTCCTTTCTCCAAATTTTTCTTCTCTAATCAAGGAAGGATTCGGGATGCTCAGCACCAGCTTCTGCTTGACAAGGTAACATTTTCCTCTACTTTCACTCCAAAACTGTATTATCTTCAGTGAAACACAACTCCTGTGAGGATGAGTTCGGTCCATTTTGAAGGTTGGCAAAATGAAAGATGAAAATTCCTACTCAAGGCCACCCTTGTAATACCCAGACTGATGCTGACTCAGACCTATTCGTGAGTCAAACCCCCATCCTGGAGAAATTTCATTATGGTCTTCTTTTCAGCATGCCTACCTTTTATTTTAGCTTTAAAATAAGAAAACATTATTATTTATTATTATAAGAAAACAGTATTAAGAGTTCAGGAGAGCTTCAGGGAACTTCCATTGGATATCCATGTTGTCCTCATTAGTCTTAAGTAGCACTGCATTAAAGGGAGAGAAGTATTGCTAGAATGTGGAAAGAAAAGCAGCGCTGTACTTCCTCTTATAATTTGCTACAGCATAGGAGAACTATGGTATACTTGCTAAGGGCTGATAGTATACAGAACCAGCTATAGTAATTACCTCATGGAATTTTAAAACTCTATAGGAACAACATCAGTACATTAGTATATGTGATTTTGATCAATTTCTCTGTTTTAAATTTAGATCTCTTCTATTGGATTCACCCTGGCTGATAAAGTGGATGGTCCATTCTTCCTGGAAATAGATTTTATTGGAGTGTTTACTGATCCATCCCACACAGAGGAATTTGCCTATGAAAATTCTCCAGTGCTTAATCCAAGACTTTTTAAATAGAGATCATATGGTAGTTTTGTATTTCTAAACTAAAGGTAGTAGTATCCATGATGACCCAGGCAAAATAAAGTAGTTCTTTAATGGCATTCAATCAATGGCCGGTATGTATTTTCTAAGACAAAGCTAAATGTTGCTGCTAAGAGGGACCATATAGAGGGAAACACAGCATGAAACCAGTTTCTAAGCTGTACCTTAACTTAAAGAATGCAAGTACTGATGCAGAGGTACTATGTAAATAACTGTTTTTGGTTAGAATGATTCCTGTTAGAAACAATTCCTACATGAGTAGGTGGTTTCCAAAGCAAGGAGTCTCCTAGATGACTGTTGATGGCACTCTATTCTTTATAGGTTTCTTCTGTTTTCTAACCCATCTTTGAGGA